TCCCACTAAAGGAGACTAGAATTCTAATCTCAAAGGAGCTCTTGATTCAAATCTCTAATTCATCATTAATCGCAATTGGTTTTGTTTGTTCTTGATCTAGCCCACACCAATCCACTCAATATAATGGCCTCTAGGAATTCTCTGGCCTGAGAAAAAGCACCACCTCATGGACTGGTTTTATAAATTTTACTTTTTATATGACTTCTTACAGAAGTTCATTCAGGATGCCAAATACTACAGAGATAGATTTGCAAATTACCACCTTTAAATAAAAGGTTTTCAAAGCTGCAAAGAAACTTGAAAACCACGTGATAAGTTCTACCATTTTTTTTTTAAATGAAGAATCTGAAACACAGAAGAAACCCTTGTCAGCTAGGGCGAGAATCCAGTCAGACTAGCATCCTAGTGTCTACACCACCTCATTACTTGAGGTAGGATACACAAAGACCGAGCTCCCTCTATACATACACACACTTTCTCACACAGGCATGCACATTCACAAGAAATGGCTAACGTACAATTTTTTAATGCTTATTTTCATCTTATCTGAAAGACAGTGAGAAAGACAGACAAGATGATCTTCCATCAGCTGGTTTACTTCTCAGATGCCTGCAACTGCCAGGACTTAGGGCAGGCTGAAAGCATGGGTCCAAAACTCAATCAGGGTCTCCACCGTGGGGGTAGCAGGAATCCAAATACATAAGTCATGATCTGCTGCCACCAGGGTGCACAACTAGTCAACAAGCTGCATTGGAAGTAGATCAGCTGGGGCCTGAGCCAGGTTTTTGAGAGGGAATCGGAGCCTTTCGAATGTATCTTAACCACTACACCAAATGCCTGTCCAACATACAACCCTCCCCACCCCCGCCAATATTTATTTAGATGAAAGATAAGAGTTGCAGAAAGGCAGGGAACACAGAGAGATATCTTCCATCTACTAGTTTACTCTTCAAATAGCCACAATGGCCTGGGACTGGGCCAGGCCAAAAGCAGGAGCCTGGAATGCCATCCGTCCTCCACGCAGGTGGAAGGGACACGAACACTTGGGCCATCCATTTTATGCTGCTTTCCCAGGTGCATTAAGCAGACAGCTGGATCAGAAGTGGAGCAGACGAGACTTGAGTTAACACTCTAATATGGGAACATCAGCATCACAGGTGTTGGCTTAACCCACAGCACCATAATGCCTGCCAGCACCACCACATATGGGTTTTTTTTTTTTTTGCCTATTTAAATAGTGTTTGTTTAAATCATGACATAAGAAAGAGGAGATAAAGGAAACTGTAACAGAAAAGCAATAGTAATAATAGTCCCCCAACTCTTCCAGATCTCTGTTGTTTCCAAGTTACTTTATGTGTATAGCCTTTGTAATGAAATCAGAGACTGAGCATTTCTCCTTATGAAGCCAAATGAAGTCTGTGCGGCAGCATTCCCTAAAACTTTGCTTTTCACAAACAACCCTGCACCACGAGCAACAAACTGCTTAGTAATGCAGATACCCTGACCTACTGCCGCTCAGTCAGAATATATACTTCAATGAGAGACACACAAACTGTGGATACAATAATATTTGAGAAATTCTGAGCTAAAACACTTCCTTAAAGGTAGTATCCTATCTTGAATAATACAGATTAAAAGAGAGAGAGAAAAGGAGAGGAAAAAAGACAAGTAGTTCCTGAAGGGCTATCCTGATATCCACCTGGGCCAAACTCAATGAATCAGTTATGACTCATCTGAAGAATACACTAGCTTTTACACATAATTCCAGAGGCTGAAATTCAATCTATTCACCCGTTCCACAAGTATTTTATTAGCTCAGTGTTTACTACATAAGGAAAGAAAAAGCAAGACTGCCTTCTGCCTTTATGAAGCTTAGAGTTAAGTAACAGGAACATTACAAAGTAACACTGAAATGCTCAAAGAAGAAATTTACTGGAAGGAGAGAGGACATGGATTAAAAGATTCCTGTGGTCCAGGAGTCAGCAGTTTATGCTGATGAGGCCATTAGCTATGGGACAGCTGTGACCCACATGGCAATAGTGGCCCAACTTCCAGTACCGCTTATTCAACTGTGATAAGAAAAACAGGTCCAGTAATAGTAGAGCTACTACTGCATCACTGCATGGCAGTCTACCAAGACTTTGGCTGGTGAGGGAATAGCACTGGCAACCATTAAATGGGATGCTCTGAGATTGCCAACACCACACAATGTTCACAGTGTGTTGCCACAGAGCTGGGCAGTAAGGACTTGAGATGTGCAACACTCAGCTACGTGAACAGCTTAAAGGCCACCAATCTATTCCTGGGCAGTTAAGACAGCAGGAAGAAATGCCAGTGAGGAAAACAAACAAACAAACAAAACAAATGACAATTACAAAGAGAATTAAACATTGACTTCAAAATGCACAATGACAATGAGGCCAGAATTGTGGCACAAGTTAATCTGCTGCCACCTGCGATGCCAGGTGGGCACTGGTTCATGTTCTGGCTTTATTCATTTTTATTGGAATGTCAGCTATACAGAGAGGAGGAGAAACAGAGGAAGATCTTCTGTCTGCTGATTCTCTCCTCAAGTGGCTGCAATGTCCTGAGATGAGCAACTATGAAGCCAGGAGCCAGCAGCTTCTTCCAGGTCTCCCACATGACTGCAGGGTCCAAGGCTTTAGGCCATCCTCGACTGCTTTCCCAGGCCACAGACAGGGAGCTGGATGGGAAGTAGGCTGCCAGGACACAAGCCAGTACCTATATGTGATCCTGGTGCATGCAAGGCAAGGATTTTAGCCACCAGGCTACCATGCCAGGCCCCGGTGCTACACTTCCGAGCCAGCTCCTGCTAATCACCTGGAAAAGCAGCAGAAGATGGCCCAAATGCTTGAGCCCCAGCACCCATGTGGAAACCTGGAAGAAGCTACTGGCTCCTGTTTTTGACCTGGCCCAGCCCTGCCCAGTGCAGCCACTTAGGAAATGAACCAGTGGATAGAAGATCTCTCTGGGTCTCATCCTCTGTCTGCTGAATTCTGCCTTCCCAATGAGTAAAAAAATCTTAAAATACAAAAACAGGGGCCCGGCACGGTGGCGCAAGTGGTTAAGTCCTTGCCTTGAACGCCCGGGATCCCATATGGGCGCCGGTTCTATCCCAGCTGCCCCGCTTCCCTTCCAGCTCCCTGCCTGTGGCCCGGGAAAGCAGTCAAGGACGGCCCAAAGCTTTGGGACCCTGCACCCGCGTGGGAGACCCAAAGGAGGCTCCTGGCTTCGGATCGGCATAGCATCGGCCGTTGTGTTCACTTGGGAAGTGAATCATTGGACAGAAGATCTTCCTCTCTGTCTCTCCTCTCTGTATATCCGCGTTTCCAATAAAAACATAATAAAAATAAATCTTTAAAAAAAAAACAAAAACAAAAACAGTAGGGTGGGGCTTTTCCCTTTGTTACTCCCCTAACCCCAGATACAGGGCAAAATGATTATATTAGTGTGGAAACAATGATATTACCCACTTTCACCCTGTAGCCCTTGACCCTTTGTATCCTAATAAACTAAGATTAAAAACAAACAAACAAACAAAACTCCAATATATGCAATCATCTTCTTGGAATGGTCTACTGTCCCAGACAAATAAATGATGATACTGAGAGGCAAACTCCTATCCACTGTGCTTCCTACATACACAGTTCCTTCAAGACAGGAGAACTGACAAAACTCTCAGTCTATATTATATTCTAAACACACAACTATGATTTTATGACAAGGCACAAAGACTTAGATCTTACATATAGAGCAAGCACAGGATATCATTAGCAATTAACATGGGAGTATATAAAAATAATCACAACAAATTGAAGTAAACATAACATCTCATTTAATTCTCATGAAGTGTGGAAAGGTTTCTAGGACATATTATCAAATAAAAAGATTTCAAAATAAAAACACATCTGAAATATGCAAGGGTGCCTCAAAAAGCTTGTAGAAAGTGGACATTTGAAATAATGCACATTTTCATGAACTTTTAAAATAATCCCTCATATTTAATGGAAAAAAGCCAATATTCAGAACTGTTATATACAACAGGCACTTTTATGTTATGCTGAAAGAAAACACATTTACACAATAAAATCGTACAGAGAACAACTAGAGAGATATCAGGCTTTACAAGCAACTTTTCACAATGGTTACAGCAGTGTTGGACTATGGAAAGACTTGTTTTTTGAAAAAAATTATTATTAAATGTTTCTCACTGGTTTTATTCTAAGCATGTATGACTTACATCTATAAGCTTTGTTTACTTTGCTTAGTTCTTACTTTGCAGGAAGAACATTGCTTTACAATGAAAGAAATAACATCAATTCATTTTATAACCTAACCTGATGGTTTTGCTTTGGATGTTCTAAGAAAGGAAGCAACAACATGGGAAACAACAAGAAACTAAGTACTAAGACATGGCCTGGACACAAAATATAAACAAAAGAGGAGACTTTTGTTTCTACTGTTTTGGCTTCGTTTTATTATCCTATTCCATAGGGTGCACATATATTATACACTTCCTTTTCTCAGGTTAATCATTAAATGCAATAATGCACATATTCAATAAACACTTTCCCAGGTTCCGAGTGATCAGGAAGCTTGCCATGGACCAGCTCAAATACTAACCGATGTCAGATGCACAGTGCCCCTAAACCAGATTATTTAATTCCCTTCATTCACCTATTTCATCCTTCCAACCACCACGACGTGGGCTTTATAATCTTATCTCTATACACAGGTGTCTTCATACTGACAAAATACAGTAATATATACAAGCACATAAAAGTTTTGGGCATGTTTTGTTCCCCACCACCTTCCTAGGCAGAAAAAATGACTTAAAAACTAAACTGACACTTGGCATTCAGCAACATTTCACAGAAAGCTAAAAGCAAGGTATTCTGGAACAAATAAACCATCAATCTGAGTCAGGCAATCCCTTCACCAGAATTGTCTAGACCCAGAATGGGACAGCACTCACTTACCCCCATGACTCGGCCACGCTGCTCAACATCCTCCCACATAAAATGAACTATGATACGACACATGTATTTCCCACTCCGGCCTTCCTGCTTCATTCGGACTAGACACATCCTAGGAATGGGGAATAACACATATAAACATCATGGGCTGTTGGGATTGTTCACATCACACATGTCCAGTGAAGGTCTGCTTATCTAAAAGTGGTTCTGGCAAATGTGGAATCAAAAAACTGGAAATGAGCTTACTTCTTAAAAAGCAAAAGCAAAAACAAACAAACAAAAAAAAAAACTGTGGTATAAACCCAACACTACACAGTACATTTATCTTCAGTTTGAGGTTGCTGAATTTTTATATATTATACATCTATGTGAATCTACACAGGTAATACCCACATCAAGATAGCTTATCAGGGACCAGCGCAGTAGCCTAGCGGCTATGGTCCTCACCTAGTATTTGCTGAGATCCCATGTGGGCACAGGTTCTAATCCCGGCAGTCCCACTTCCTATCCAGCTCCCTGTTTGTGGCTTGGGTAAGCATCTTTCCCAGGTGGGAAGACCCAAAACAGGCTTTGGATCAGCTCAGCTCTGGGTGTTGTGCTGCTTGGGGAGTTAATCATCAGACAGAAGATCTTCCTCTGTCTCTCCTCCTCTCTGTATACCCAACTTTCCAAAAAAAAAAAAAGCTTATCTAATACACCTCAGAAGATTTCCTCACTTGTAAGAGACATTCATTTGTTGGAAGATAAGTGAGTCTGAATCCTTCATATTACAGATAAAAACAGAGTCCTACAAAAGTAAAATAATTAGTCCAATACTTTTACTGCAAAAGCTAGATACAGAATTGTGCTGCCCTATAGGTGGCCATAAGCCACCATGGCAGTTCTTGTGAACTTAACATGAGATACAGGACAGTTTAAGATTTGAAAGGTTTAGTTACAGAAAATGAACACAATATATCTCACTTCTTTTTATACTGCTTTGTGTTGAAATAATGTTTCAGATATAATAGGTTAAATTTATTATTATTAAAATTATTGAGTTCCTTTTTAAGATATGGCTACTATACAACTTGGTATTATATTTGTTGGGTAACAAATTATAGAAAGTAGTGATTACATGTGTAATTTTTTTAAAAAAGATTTTAAATTTCTTATTGGAAAGGCAGATTTACAGAAAGAAGGAGATACAGAGAAAGATCATTCATCTTCACTCCCCAAAAGGCCACAATGGTCAGAGCTAGGCCAATCTGAAGCCAGGAGCTAGGAGCTTCTTCTGGGCTTCCCACGTGAGTACAGGGAGCCTCCTCTACAGCAGGGAGCTGGATGGGAAGTGGAATAGCTGGGACATGAACCGGCACCCATATGGGATCCTGGCACTTGCAGGGTTGAGGATTTGCCAATTGAGCCACCACACCAGGCCCCCTATATGTATAATTTATCAAACTGTTTCCCCTACTGCAACATAAACTCTAATGAGATGAAAAAAAAAAAACAAATATATTTATTTTTCAATATTCTATCTCCAGGGTTTAAATACAATAGACAATATATATTTGCTGAACACATGAATGGATAAAGGAGCACATGTATAGCCTAGCAGTTAAAATACCCAAGTGCCTGAGTTTGATTCCCGGGCCCGGCAGACTCTAGGAGGAAGTGATGACAGCTCAAATAACTGGGTCCCTGTCACTGACACAGGAGACCCAGATCCTAGATCCTGGCTCTAACTCCAGTCCAGTCCTGATTGGGACACACCTTTGGGGATGGAACCAGCAAATGGGGGCTCTATCTCTCTCAAATAAGGAATTCTCAAATTCCTTTAGAGAATTTAACTAATAGGGGCATTTATTTGACCTAGAGGTGAAGACATCAGTTTGGACACCCATGTGCAACATCAGAGTCCCTGGGGTTGCTATTTCCCTCAGGCTTTCAATTCCACTCTGCCAATGGCAGGAAGGATGGGAAGTGGAATAGCTGGGACATGAACTGGCATCCATATGGGATCCTGGCCTTCTACATTGATGACCCAGGTACTCCTGCTGTCTTTCCCTGACTTACCAGGCACATCAGCAAGGGCTGAATGAGAACGGGAACACTCAAGATTCAAACCAAACCCTCCAATATGGAATGTCAGCACCATGAGAGGCATTTTAACCTTATTATACCACAACACCATCAGTGGGCTGTATCTAATGAAAGGAATCTGTACAGAGATAAGCTTAAGATACTGCACTTGGACCTAAAAGAACAAACAGAGCAGTGCAGGATAGGCAAATCAGAACTATCTATCTGTAAGCTGAATTGCAGTTGAGAAGATGGATATTGTGTCTCCCCCTCAAAATAACACGGGCTTGAAAACAATAATAGAAATATAATATCTTCAATGCATAAATTCAGAAGCTGTGGTCTATTTTCTGTTGCTTTACTGGGACATAAGCAGGGAGCTGGGTGGGAAGTGGAGCAGCCAGGACATGAACTGGCACCCATTTGGGATACTGGCATTTGCAGATGGAGGATTGGCCAGCTGAGCCATCATACTGGTCCCATGACTGATATTGTGATTGTAAATTTCTTTCTTTCTTTTTTTCTTTTTCTGTTGCAAACATAAAAGTTTATTTGCGAAGGGACCAGGGGAGGAGGGAAGGGAAGAAAGGGGAAGCACCTCCGGAAAGGAAGCTGGGAGGTGGGGTGCTTCTCGAAAGAGGAGGGAGGGAGAGGCACCCGTGACTGTAAATTTCTAATCACTGAACTCAATCTAAGAAATACCATGCTATGGCAGTAACAAATTAGATCATGGGAAAAAGTGTGGCTACTTATATGACACAGAACAAATTCCAAAGCAGAAACAAACTGTGGGAAGTTCAACAGACCTTTTTCCTAAGAGCTTTCTAAAAGTTAATCAAATCACTAATGTCAACCTCTCACCTGAAAAGACACTGTATGTCTTGATGCTTTAGTGTCAACAGAGTCCAATTCATCAACAGAAACAGTGAGGTAATGGAATTCTTCATTCGACAATTCTGCACTTTGGTAATATACTTACCCTCTGAGAATTAAAAGGCACAGATTTTTTCAGAGCATAAACTTTCTGATTCTATCAACACTGAGTAAGAAGTACTTTTCCTTCAATAGATTAACTTACTTATATGAAAGGTAGAGTTAAAAGAGAAAGATCTTTCATATTCTGGTTCATTCCACTTCCCATCTAGCTCCCCATTTGTGGTCCGGGAAAGCAGTGCAGGATGGCCCAAAGCCTTGGTGCAGGAGACTGGAAGAAGCTCCTTGGGTCAGCCCCAGCCACTGCAGACATTTGGGGAGTGAATCAGCAGATAAAAGGCCTATCTTTCCTTCTCTCTGTAAAATCTGCCTTTCTGATAAAAAAAAAAAATTTTTTTTAAGTGAATCTTAAAAACAAACAAAAAAGCTGCTAATAAGTCCCACAAGAAAGCTGCAATGGAATTTGAAAGGATTACTTTTGGCTAAGTGGAATCAGAGAAAGCTTCCTAGGCTTGAAAGGATGAGCTGAAGCTGGATAGTTAAAGACAAAAGATAAAGGGAACTTCAGCAGATGGAATATTTTAAGCGTATATGGGGCATTGAAATAGTTCAGCACTTCTCAAGGAGGAAAAAATAGTTAGATTTGGGGGAGGTCAGGGTTATAAGAAGCAGAAGCATGAAGCTAGAAAAGCCCTGCAGGACTCTGAAATGTCTGGACTTCATGCAGTAGATGACAGCTAGCCACTGGGAAGATACACGTAGTAACATTACTGCACCCAGTCACCAAGAGCTGGTGAGTCTGTGCAGCCAACCCACTTTCCTCAGCTTTAGTCCTCTAATCACAGGGGACAGAAAATGACAAATTTGGGGGCCAGGTGCTATAGTATAGTTGGTAAAGCTCACGCCTGTGGTGCTGGCATCTCATATGGGCACCGGCTTAAGTCCAGTCTGCTCCACTTTCAATCTAACTCCCTGATGATGTGCATGGGAAAGCAGTGGAAAAAGGCCCAAGTCCTTGGGACCCTGTACCCACATAGGAGACCTGGAAGAAGTGTCAGGCATCTGGCTTTGTATCAGCTGAGTCTGGTCATTTTAGCCATTTTGGGGAGTGAACCAACAGATGTAATATGTCGCTGACTCCCCTCCCCTCCATAACATCTTTATATAATATAAATATAATCATTTATATATATAATATAAATATAATCATTTTCAAAAAAGAAAATGATACATTTGATGAATATATGCTTTGGTAGAATGGTGGTACTCAAAATAGTCTGAGCCACAAGAAAATAGCCTGCATCTGCCTTTTGAAAGCTATACAATCAGAAAAGCTTGTGGGGCCAGCACTGCATCACAGCAAGGTAAGTCTATGCCAAGTCCCAGCTGCTCCACTTCCAATCCAGGTCCCTGATAACATGCTTAACTTTGTCTTTTAACTAAACAAATAAACCTTTAAAAAAAGAAAGGAAGATAAAGAGCAAGAAAAGGAAAGAAGAAAGGTAGGAAGAAGGGAAGAAGGAATCAAGGAAGAAAAAAAATGTTTGTTATAACCTGAATTTAATGTTGCTGGCACTCAATGATCAATTGGGGCTAATCCTTGCAAGCACCAGCATCCCATATAGACACTGGTTCATGTCCTGACTACTCCAGATCCCATCCAGCTCCCTGCTTGTGGCCTGGGAAAGCAGTGCAGGATGGCCCAAAGCCCTGGGACCCTGCACCTATGTGGGAGACCCAGAAGAAGTGTCTGGCTCCTGACTTTGAATTGGCTCATATCTGGCTGTTGTAGCTATTTGCGAAATGAACTAGAAGATGGAATATCTTTGTCTCTACTTTTGTCCATTAATCTGATCTGCTTTTCCAATAAAAATAAATAAATCTTACATATATATACACACATATGTACATGAGTTCTACTGGGAAAATACGATTCTGAACCATAGGGCTAAAAAGTTGCCAGCACAACAATGAGCTAACTAAAAGCTCAAATAACTTTTGCTCTGAGTTTGTGAATCAAATTCTCTCAGCAGCTAAGGACAGGAGAAAAAAAAAAAAACAGTCCTGTTGTAAAGAACTTCTGTGTTTATCTTCTGCTGGGGAAAAAACAGAGCT